AATAATTGGCATCGTGTTGCAAAATTGAGCGAAATTGTCATTGTTCTAATTTTTCTCTTTGTCTCATTCAATTATGGAAGTACTTTATGCAGCATGCAGAGAAATTATTAAATTAGAAGGAAAAGATCAAAATAATTGCTTATAAAGATATAATTTTTATAGAGATATTATTCTGAAAACACGGAGATCACAGTACGTAATTAATAATTTTATTTTATTACATAATTTCTATGAAAAGAATTATCTGAAAAACTAAATAATTGACATCAAAAGGTACATTAATTTGTCGAGCTGCAATAAACGAAATTGCGACAGCGAGTTGAATACCATTCGAGTTAAATGATATGAGAAAGTGTACATTTTTAATTTCGAATATGTTTCGTGCTTTTCAGAAACAGATATTTAATCCCTTTAGTTATGAAACGGTTTTGCGAACCCTCGTAAATGAAACGATATTAAGCATTATGACATAATAAACGTTTAAATGTGTTTGAATATGTTTCTATATGTTTATAGAATAATGAGCGTTAGAAAGTTCTAGGATTGTTCTAAGTTAAATTTTTAATTGAAAAGAAAGGTGTACTACTTTAACGCTATCAAAAGAATTTAAAAAAACGAGTTTTAGATAAATTACATAGCTTCAAATTATTTTATTCTTAATTAGATATGAAACGATCCCAGCCAACCTAGCTTCAATTTTAACTACTTTATATGCTGACAATCTAAATAAATATCTTTTCTTTCAAAGATTTACAATTTTTTTTTCAAATTAAAATCAGTAGCTTCTTTGTAAGAAATATTTTTAGTGGCTGGGGTCTTAAACGTCCCAGTATGTCAGATATGTTATTCTGATCATGTGTGACTGTTAAAGGTTAATATCAGGAAACATCATCTAACACAATAAACAGTACTATATTGTTTATATAGTATAACTTACAATACAGGGTTAGCATAAATGATTAATTCGTTTTGAAGAGGTTATATTTTCAAAAGTATTACATGTACGCGCATGAAAGATATATGAAAAGGACCATGGGGTTTAGTACCTTCTTTACGTACTCCCACTACCGCAATCCTTTGTCGAGCTTAAAGAAAGCATTAGTGTTGCAGTGCAGATAATTAACAGGATTATGCTACAAAATGTATGGAATAAGCTAGATTATCGTTTGGACGTGTGTCGAGTCACCAAAAGGCGACATACTGAACATTTCTAGAAGGTGGGTACTTTTGAAGATGTAGCTTTTTCATAATGAATGAGTTATTTATACTAACTCCGTATAATATACAGGGTGCCTCACCCATTTTACCATCTAGATTTGCGTCACTATTATTACTCATGGCAAACAATGTTTCAAATGAAGTTAATGGTTTTGAGAGGGGCATATGCAGGTGGTATATTTTTTTGTAGGTGGACGTGTAAAGGACATATGAAGGTCAATAATGTTTTTTTAAATGGAATCATATATTTTTTATTGCATCAGCTGATAATATTCATCAGCTCCTTCATATTCTTTACAAAAAAGTATTAATCTATTTATGTGAAAAAATCATTAGTTTAGGAGATATTTTAATTCTAACTTGTTAGGAAATCGTGACTTTCTAGTCAATATTATGAATTGCCCTAACTGAACAGCAAATGTTTTTCGAATTGTGAGTTTTTGTTCTTTTTTGTTACGCAGTAACAGTGAAATTTAGTCTATGTTACGTCTCTTATACGACGATACGGTGAATTATCAATTCATAATAAAGTATTCTAAAGAAGAAAAGATAGACATGTTATTAGTTTATTTTGAAGCTGGGAAAAGTGCTATACATGCAGAAAGATTATACACTACGGAATGTTAGTAAGTCAATAATTTCTAGATTCAGAAAGTGTTTTGATGTAAATGGTCGCCACACATTGAACCCTTTCTGTAAATAAATATTAAAATTAAAATATCTTCTAATCTAATAATTTTTTCACATAAATAGATTAATACTTTTTTGTAAAGAATATGACGGAGTATCAGCTGATGCAATAAAAAATATATGATTCCAGTTAAAAAAACATTAATAATCTGCATGTCCTTTACACGCCCACCTACAAAAAAATATACCACCAGAATATGTCCCTCTCAAAATCATTCAACTTCATCTGAAACATTGTTTGCTATGAGTAATAATAATGACGCAAATCTAGATGGCAAAACGAGGTGAGCCAGGTAAGTTGATAAATGTATAAATCCAAGTATTCTCGTTATCGATTATTAATGTAATAACACACTGTTAAAGCTAATCAGGTGCATTCATAACCTAATTAACATTATGACAATAAATAGAATTCATTTATTTGTTATAAATTATCTGAAATTTCAAATAAATACTACAAGAAATTATGGAAATTTTACTGTAATGTGATTAGCAAATATTGATTTTCGCGTAACTGTAGAAAATGCTTGTATGTATAAAGCACTAGTAAATTAGTGATTCATCGTATTTTATAAATCTTTGTTAAGTATAAAATGTTAGAAAAGTAAAAAAAGTTCTGCTAAGAAATAGGAGAAATTGAAATAACATGATTACGTCAAGAATTATTTACTGAATAATGATTACAATTAGAACAGGCTATGCATAGCAGAATTTAGTCTAGCGGAATTTAGTTTCATACTATTAGTTAACGACAAATAAAAAAGAAAAGTTATTATCATATCAAATTAAATATTGCTTAAAACAAATATCAGTAATATATAGTTTTATCTGTTATAATCTTGTTTCTCAATTGTACTTACTATCGTATCTACAATTAAACTAGAACATTCAGATCCGTCAAAATAAGTTAAGTTAAATAATATACTATGTTGCAAAGTATGATTAGTATCTTTTTTTAAAATGTATGCTACTGTTTTAACACTACTTCTACCGAAAGGTGTTAAAAGACATCTTTTAAATTTTAACTTAAAATTATTCTCTAAATTGAAAAATTTCTCCACAATTAATTTTTTGACTTCTCATACAATAGTTGTTAAATTAATTCAGCGGTGTCATCTTCGATGTAAAAATGTGTATATGGTATACTTATTTCTGCCATGAGGTGTCTTTTGGCATTTTAACTATTTCACGACAGAAATTATTTTAAACTATTTTACATATAAATAGCAACACCATTTTGCAGCATCATATCAATTATAATTAAATTAGAGAATCCCGATTTCAGTTGTAACAGAAGATACAGGGGATGCGGCATAACTTGGATATTCGCTTATTTACTGCCATGTTGTATTTTAATGTATACCATTTTATTTATAATTTGTAGACTGATGAATTAAGCTAGAATTTACAATCTACTTAAATAATCTATAATAAAAGCACATCAATGTATCAATCATATATATTCATATATATTCAATCATATATATTCATTAAATTATCTACGTTGAACTAGTAATTAGAAATCCCAACAGTTTTGGCAGTTATTTGCATTTAAACGAAAAGGTGTCAGAGACTCCTTTCGTTCGAAATAGGTATACACAAAATCGTGGTAGAAATAGTGTTAAGAAATAAAAAGGTGGTATTTTGCATATTAAGTTACGGCATATCAAATGGAGAAATTCAGAACAGAAAGTCTGACATTATTCGACCACATGAATGTATTGCAAAATAATATTTAGCGAACATTAATTGAAAGCATAATATTTAATGAAAACAACTATATATGTAATCTGTTCAATATTAATTTTAATATAAAGTAAAGGACTTCTCATTCGGACAAAAATGGATTAATCAATTTATATCATAATATTATCTATTAATGAATATTGACCGTTAAATGATTTTTTAAATAATTCTCATAATTCATTCAGAATGGTTAAATAATTTATTAAACAATTTTAATTTATTATTGAAAATTCAATATTCGCTAATAGAAAATATTATGCGTTTAATAATTTATTAAAATGTTATGATGTACATAGTTGTACATATTAATTTATTGTTAGTTCCAAAGAAAAATTAATAATTTTGTGACAAAAATATTAGCAAATTATTTGTATAATTATTTTCCTCGGATTTAGAACTTTAAATCAAACGGCATACAATTGCCATTTTGAAATATTTTTATGTTATCAAATTATATAAGATTTTCTGCAATTTTAAAATAAAATTGGTTAGATTTATAAAATTGGAAATTTATTAAATTTTAAAATATAAAATATTTCAATTTTCAGGTTTAAAAATTTAGTAATTAGGTAATTATGTTATTTGAAAAAGTAGAAATTTAAAAAGCTGGAAATCCAGATATTTAGAAATGACAAATATAGAAAATCTAATTTCTAAGCTTACAGATTTGTAAAATTGGAAATTTACATTTGTCTGCATTTCTATATTCCTGTAGAAAAATTTTAATTTTGAAAATTATAGAATTAGAAAATCAACAAAAAGCAGAAACTTTATATTTGAAATTTAGAAATTTAGTAATTTGGTGATTTCATATTTTAGAAATTTAGAAAGAAATTTACATCAAATTATGTAATTTATAATGTTGTCAAATCGAAAATTTTCAAAACATGAAAATATAGAAATTTCAAATTTTCAAATTCTGAAACGTAGAAATTTGATGATTTAGAAATTTGAAATCTTTAAATATATGAATTCTGAATTTAAAGATTCTTAAATTTCGAAATTGAAGAACTGATTTCTTATTAATGCTTGTGTCTACTTACACATTCCTGCACTATATTTTTGTAAGCTTAATAACATTTTGCGTTGTACTAATTAAATGCTACATCTGCAAATAACACTAAATGTCCTAATTTTTCGCTAGAAGTAAAATGAATGTGAATCATTAAATATTTATGTACCTTAAAGCTATGTCATTGATTAATTCTATAAATTCTAAATAAAATGAACTTCACGACAAATAAAACATTGTTTCAAATATTTACTATTTTGACGGATACTGATTGTTCTAGTAATAACAACTGTATGTCTAAATAATATGAATGATGTTATAATAATTATCTGACCTGCAGCTTTTTTCAATTTATCAATTTCTTCCTGTAACTTTTCCAATTGTTTACGTAACTCTTCGTTTTCTGCTCTACAAGTGTTCAACTCGTCCATCAATTTCGCGTTCTCAGCTCTCAATTTCTCATTTTCTTTTTTTATTCTGTCTGCATCACCTTTCGCCGCTGCATCAGCCTTTTCCTTTTCCTCTTTTAATTTACCTAATTCATCTTGCAATTTCGCGTTGTCTCTTTTTAGCTTGTCCAAATCATTTTTCAATTTATTTGCCTTGTTTTGTGCGTCTTCTAGCTTGTCTTTCAGCCCTTCATTTTCCGACTTCAACTCCTTCATAGCCTGCTCTAATTGTATTTTTGCTGCTTCCAGCTCTTTTATTGCTTTCTGTTGTTGAGCTATCGTATTCTTCAGAGTATCGTTCTCATTCTTTAGCGCGTTCAACCGATCCTCCGCTTCTTTTAATTTATTTGTCATCGCATCTAATTCCAAAGTCAATTTTGTTTTCTCGTTCTTTAAAACCTCATTTTCTTTCTTTAACTTTTCGTTCTCGTTTCTTAACGCTTCCAACTGTTCATTCAATTCTGCCAATTTCGGCTTCAACTCGTTCAAAGCCTGCTCTAATTGCATTTTTACTGCTTCGAGCTCTTTTATTGCTTTCTCTAATTTATCTATCGTATTTTTCAGAGTATCGTTCTCATTCTTCAGTGCATTTAACCGATCCTCCGCTTCTTTTAATTTATTTGTCATCGTAGCTAATTCCGAAGTCAATTTTGCAACCTCGTTCTTTAAGTTCTCATTTTCTTTCTTTAACTTTTCGTTTTCATTTCTTGACGCTTCCAATTGTCCATTTAATTCTGTCACTTTCGACTTCAACTTTTCATTTTCGTTCAATAACGTTTCATTTTCATTGCGCATTTTATTCAACGTCGCCTTTAGAGCATTCAGCTCCTCCTTAGCGTCAGCCAACTCCTTTAACGCTTTGTCCTTTGCGGCTGTCTGTTTCTCTAGTTCATTTCTAAGATTGCTCAGATCTCCGCGAAGATTGTTGAGTTCATTAATCAACTGTTGCTTTTCATCTTGGAGGTTCGAGAGTTGATCTTCCAACGACTTCGCTTTAGCTTCAGCAGCCGCTAGTGCCTTATTCAGTTGATCAATTTCGGCATTCAACCGATCAATCTCGCTTTTACATTTTTCTAAATCTTTTAATTGTGCCCGTAACCTGTCGTTTTCGGTTTGACAACTCTCCAAATCTGACCTCAGTTTCCCTGCGGCTGCTTTTTCGGCATCCAATGCCGATTTCAGTTTATCAATTTCAATTCTCTGTCCGTCACCTTCTCCTCTAAGTTTATTGCGTTCCTGTTCCAAATTCCTTGCGTTTTCTTGAAGACCCGCGATTTCATTTTCCAAACTGTTCACTTTAGCTTTTAGTTTATCGTACTCGTCTTTTAGACCACTCAATGCGTTTAATTCAGTCTTCAATGAATCATTTGTAGCTCTCAACGCAGCGATCTCTTCTTTGCACGAATCTAACTGGCTGTTTAGAGCAGAAAGCTGTCTTTTCATATTATCCATTTCGTTTTTGTAATCGTTATTCTCCATTCGAAGTTTCTCTAACTCTTTCTTCAATGCATTCAGCTCATCCTGCAAAGCTTTCAGTTTTGCCTCGCTTTCACCCTTGGCGGATTTTTCTAATTCGGCAGCTTTCTTTTGTTCTTCTATCTGCGCTGTTAGACCGGCGATTTGTTTATTCAACTCAGCTTTTTCGTTCTGTAACCGGTTCAACTCAGCTTCTTGTGCCTTTTTCAGCGCCTGTTAGAATATTAAAGTTGAAAATATTTGGTCCGGATATGATTAGAATTTATTAAAATTAGATTTTTAATTACAGATAAGGTGTATTGTCTATAAGTTAGAATTATCTATCAGAATACTTTAAGCCTTAATTTCGTAGACTTAATTTCATTTACAATAATAGAGTTTGCAATGTTTAACTGTACACTGTAATGTAGTTCTACTGTAATGTTTATCGGTACACAAATGTATCATTTATTCTGAAGAATTCAGTATTTTTTTTATTCAAACGGTTTTATTGAAAATTTCAAGTGTTTAATTAAGTTTGATATGATTTATACTGGATATATTATTACACGTATTCCTCAAAATATTATTTCTCATTAACATTATTTAGCATTAAGTTACATTTTCCCACTCGAGGTACATCGTATCGATACCAATAAAAAGAAGTTTAATACATTTACATGCGAGTAAACTTTTAAAGAAATACAACACATTTGCTTATTTATTCTTTTTTATTATATAAATATACGTTATTTAGAATAAAAACGAAATTTTACCTCAGATTTAATTAAAAATTTACTACGGTTTCTTTTCAGTATATCGCTTTTAATTTTGTTCATATTTTTTACCACAATTTCTAGACATTTAACTATTGGCAAAGTTAATCATGAATACACTGAATATTTATGAATTTTGTTGTGTTCTACTGTTAGTTTTGTTGAAAGAGAAAATCGTTCCTATTTTTGGCAAGCTTTTAAAATCTGGTGCTCTATTATATTAGATAACAAAGTACGTTACATATTACATAAATTATGAGATAAAATAAACTCATTAATACAATACGATGAACAAATAATGTGAATATTAATTAACAATATAATGTAGTTTAATGTGATAGTTTACCTAACAAAGACCAGATTTTGTAGAGCTGATTTTATTTGACGTACTTAACTTATTTAAAACGTATATTTGGCTATTATATAGGTTCTAGCCTACATTTCTTTTTCAACTGAAAATACAGTTGTGGAAAATAAAATTGTTATATTGCGCAATATTGTACGAACTACTGCGTAGTCCACTTCCGTCCACCACCAATCGCAAAATTAAATTGATAAAGATAACAATTGGTAATGAGAGATTATTACATTGTAGTACATCCTTTCTATTGTACAACATGCTGTAAAACAGGTTAACACGTTAGACATAATTATTTTTAAATAATTAAATAATACACGATTATTTTTTCATCAAAAGTTTCTTTAAATTTCCTCTCAAATTTAAAACATTCTTTAAATTTTTTTTCTTATTTTGTATTTTTTCTTATTTCTATGTTAAAAATACTATTTCCTTGATGTTGTAAAAATTAGGAGCTTGTGAAATCTGTGGCCAAAATATTTTTATCAGCTGAAAATTCGGCATTTCGTTCTACTGGTATTATGTAAATAAATATATGCAATAAATAGTTTCTGTATTTTGATGTAGAATAGTTTCATGTTTTATGCTTTTGTATTATAATCTTCCCATTCCCTATACCTCTGAAAGTAACTATTAAAATTTGACGACTACGTGCTGAATTAGTACTAAACGTATGTAGTACGTTGTAATTGCTATGTTATAGAATAAACAATTACAGAGAGTGGTCTTTTATAACATCTTAATAGTCATCCGAATTAATTGTACTTCTACAACTTTATATCATATTCACTCCGAAAGTTAAATCTAAGAATTATATGAATGCAAGAATAGCTACTACATATACCTAATTAATAATATCCTTTAGCAGCGTAATCGATTCCAATAGTTTTCTTAAGGAAAATGTATTTTCTATTTTAGTAATATGTCTGTTCCTAATACTGTCTATCCTCAAACTACTTTGGCAGTCTCTTCCAAATATAGGTGGGATCATAAAAGAAAAATCATAAAAAATGAATTGAAAAAGGAATTGAAGAAGAGATAAGAAGGTTGTAAAAAATACAGGTACATTGGAACATAAGTATCTGATACGAAATATTGGAACTCGTTGACATTAAATGATTGTAAAGCCTCAACATTTCATAGTTAAAACTCGATATTTATATTCTGTGCTAAACAGGTCTATATCCAATTTAATATTGTTGCGAGTACGTGTTAATAGTACGCACTCAGCTGTTAATATAATACAGAACAAGTTATTAATTATTTGGACAATGTTTTTCAGAAAACAGCGCTATTATATTCAACAGAAATAAATATCACTTAAAAATATGCAGAGAAAAATAATATGTTAGCTTTACTCATTTTGCAGTTACTTTTACTGGTTTTGTACTCTCATTAGAAAAATGGTCTTTCTAATGTGATGTATTTTTTTTTCTTTAAAAGCTTGCGATTGCGATAAGCAACTTTGTATAAAATTAAAAATACTGCCAAGAATTATACAACTGTAAGAAGCAATAAATTAAGATAAGAAACTATAGATCTGTTTTCCAGAAAATTTGTTTATAGCTGTGGTGCCAGACACTTATTTAACAAAATAGAGCTTGGTAAATGTAAAAAATAATTGTTATATTTCATTCTCTTTTTGCGGATAACTATGGGCAAAATAATCCGTAATAATAGTATATGGAAGCTTCGTGAGCTGTCTATTTATGGAGCTACCTCAATTTTGGACATTTTGTACCATTTTCCTTTGCGGTGTAACACAAAATAAAATAAAATTGTCCAATATATAAATCCGAACACAAAGGAAGAAAACATTAAAGAAATTCTATTTCTATATTTTAGTTGTAACGCATTTCCTACGCCAAATTACAATAATAACATTTGTCAAAATTACATTGATATAACAAGTAATAGAAACACATGTAACAATGACTTAAAATGTTACATATGCATAAATTAATCATTGTTTTTTAATTAATTAGTTTAATATTCTTTGATAAATTAATGTAATACTTCTGGATTAATTAGTATAGTACAATTTTTTTAATCCTGAAACATTTATTGAATAACCGTATTGGACACTTCTTTTTAAACCTAGTTTTTATATTTTTCGTTTTTTGAATCAAAATTAAAAATTTTCAAGTTTTAACAATTCTGATTTATGTTATGCGAAACATGTATATTTTTTTTTTATTTTGAAACAAATCATGTATGAAATTGTAACATTTGAAAAAAGCATATAAGCCTATTAAGTCGAATACATACTATAACATGATTACTATTATTCTTTTGTTGCATTGTTTGTTTGCATTATCGATTTTCTAATGATTGAGTTCATATTGACTGACAAGGCAGAACTACAATAGTTTCAAAAAAATATGATACATCAATAATTCTTTATATAACTGATTGGAGTTATGTAGCAAAAATTATTCATTCAAATCTATAAAAATATCTACCTAAGTGATTTATTATTGTAATTACATGGACGTAAACAAAAAGATTGTTACGATTTTACCATATTTTTGAAAAGCAGCATGTAAACCAATTTGTTTAAAACATATCGTTTTCAAATCAAGATTTCTGTGTTTAGGACGTTTTAGATATTCTCTAAAAAATTCAATTTCATAGAATTACTTCTCATTAATACTGTAATAAAAACTATGATTTTCTTGAAATGCTTTTTTGACTTATGTGTACTTTTTTCAACAAACGCCTCAAGTAATATCCTTCCAATTACTACTAATTTTAAACAAGTATTACTAATTTGATGTGCTGAATATGTGATAAACAGTATGTCGATAAAATTCTTACATATATTAACAAAAATAATAAATGAATAAATTAGCCAAAAGGAAAATACTTAATTAGCGAAATCTGTTCAAACAATGGAGAAACAATATTTCGTTTTACCTGGCATTCGGATAAATCCTTTAATGCTTTCTCCAAATCCGCTTTTAATTTATCTATTTCAATCTGCAGCTTACAATTCTCCAGTTTCCAATGTTCTACATCCTCTTCCAATTTAGCAATTTTTGCCCGTAATTCGGAAATTAAATTATTTAAATCGGCAATTTCCGCCTTCAAATCCGCGCATTCTTGTTTCGCTTGAGACAATTCGTTATCCATATCTAATAGCTTTGCGCGTAGCGTTTGATTCTCTTGCTGCAAAGCGTCATTTTCTGCTTTAGCTGCCTTTAATTTCTCATTCAAATCTCCTACTTGACTTTCTAACATCGCCATGTCGTTTCGCATTCTTTCATTGTCACTCATTCCGCCATCTAGCCTTAATCTTAAGTTTCTTGCATCATCCTCTAACGCTTTCAGATCATTTTGCAATTTATCATTTTCTTTTTGCAAACGATCGACCAAAGGCTCGAGTTCCTGAATTTTACGTTCTGCAATATCCAGCTGATTCCTTAGCTTACTCACTTCGTCATTCAACGATTGTACCTGTTCTCGTAATTTTTCACCTTCAGCCTTCATCGCCTCATTTTCCTGTTTGCAAGCGTTCAACTCTTCTCTCAACTTATTATTTTCAGCTTCCAATTGATTTTTCTGCGCCTTCAAGTTTTCGTTCTCTGTTCTACAATCGTTCAGTTGTTTCCTCAACTCGTCAATCTCATTTTGCAATTTGTCATTTTCTTTTTGCAAACGATCTCCTAAAGGTTCGAGTTCCTCAATTTTACGTTCTGCAATATCCAGCTGATTCCTTAGCTTATTCAAATCATCATTCAACGATTGTACCTGTCCTCGTAATTTTTCACCTTCAGCCTTCATCGCCTCATTTTCTTGTTTGCAAGCGTTCAACTCTTCTCTCAACTTATTATTTTCAGCTTCTAATTGATTTTTCTGCGCCTTCAAATTTTCATTTTCTGTTCTACAATCGTTCAGTTGTTTTCTCAGCTCGTCAATCTCATTCTGCAATTTATCATTTTCTTTTTGCAAATGATCTCCCAAAGGCTCGAGTTCCTGAAGTTTTTGTTCTGCAATATCAAGCTGACCCCTTAGTTTACTTAAATCGTCATTCAACGATTGTACCTGTTCTCGTAATTTTTCACTTTCAGCTTTTATCGCCTCATTTTCTTGTTTGCAGGCGTTCAACTCTTCTTTTAACTTATTATTTTCAGTTTCCAATTGATTTTTCTGCGCCATCAAGTTTTCGATCTCTGTTTTACAGTCGTTCAGTTGTTTCCTCAACTCGTCAATTTCGTTTTGTAAAGTAGAATTTTCCCGTTGTAAAGCGTCCCTTTCAGCTTTACACTTCTCAATTTCAGTTTTAACAGCTTGATTTTCAGTTTGCAATTTCTCCAATTCCTCCATACACTTGTCGACAGCGTCCTTCAAAGAACCTATTTCAGATTTCAATCGATCGACTTCGTTCACAGCTTTGTCGAGCTCCTTTTTTAGGCGATCGATCTCGGTCAGTAAATCGGCATTCTCCAATTTCATTTGTTCCACCTGATCCATTGCGTCCTTGAGTTTTTTCTCGAGCTCCCCATTTCTGGCCTTCAAATCCATGTTTTCATTCGCTAAGCGATCCTTTTCGCTTGTCAAATTGTTCAATTCATCTTTGATCTTTTGAAGCTCGGACATTTTGTCTTTGTCCGCAGCTCTTAATGCATCTCCAGCGCCTCGTAGGTCTTCCGCTTCCTTTCTCGCATGATCAAGGTCGCTTTGCAAATTCCGTACATTTTGTTTCAACGCATCGTTCTCAAGCTTCATATCGTTGAGAGCCTCTTGCAGTTTATCCTTCTCTAATTTTAGTTTGTTGAGTTGTTCACCGACATTATCCAATTCAGCTTTTAGACTCTCGTTCTTCGCTATTGCTTCTTCAAGTTGCTTCTTAATGTTGCTGTTCTCGTCTAGCAACGCTTTGCGTTCTTCTTCAGCCTTATTTAATTCGTCCTGCAGTCTGTTAATTTCTGCTTCTAGATTATTCAATGCTTGCTTCATACTGTCGTAATCGCTCTTTAAGACATTGTTCAAATTCATCAATTCCTCGTTCTCTTTCTTCATCTTCTCCAGTTCCGCTTTCAACCTCTCGTTCTCTTCAGCCAACCTCTTCGCTGCTTCTACATCTTCACGCAGTTTATTATTTTCTCCTTTTGCAACCTCCAGCTGATCCCTCAGATTCGTATTATCTTTCTGCAACCTCTCGAGTTCAGATTGGCAATTTTTCAAATTTTCTTCTAAGGCATTCCTGGCCGCCTTTTCTTCTTCCAACTGATTAGTTAGTGCTAGGAGTTGTTCGTTCGCATTATCTAACTCTTTCAATAATTTTTCGTTGTCATTCTTTAAAACTTCTAGCTGTTTTTCTAGACTTTCCTTGATTGCGTTAGTGTGCGCAAGTTCGTTTTGTAATTTCGCGAGCTCTTCCAACAGTTGGTTCCTCTCTAATTCTAGGTCCTCTAATTGTGATTTCAGTTCCTCCAGTTGTGATTTCAAATTATTTAATTCGAGCAAATTTATTTCTGCTTGCCTTAGTTCATTTAGTAGTTCCTGAATCTGAAACAAGATTACATGATCTTTTACTACTAGTTGTGTATATATAATAACGTGTTAACGAGGGTGGAAAAATGTCCTCTTTTGGATTGAAATAAAATAACACATTTTCAATATATTTATTGATATTTACTGAGCATTACAGTTTTTAGTGTTACTAATAACCTATTCTTAGTGTGATGATAATTTGTTTATTTTATTTTTCTAGAAGGATGTCATTTAGGAATTTTATTTAGTGAATAAAATGAGATCAGAGCTGAAAATCTTAAGCAGTAATATTATCGAACAGAACTTTTCGTAGACTTAATATATATAGTGTGTGATTTATTAGAAAACATATAAACACCTTAAGAAATGTGGATGGTATGGAGAAATATATCAGACAAAAGTTGTAAGGTACTAGAGTACTCATACTTAAAAAGCTATGTGGAGATCGATTCGATTAAAAAATATAAATCTTTATAGAATACCGTGAAGAATTAATCTGCACAAAAAAGACATATCATCCTACTTAGGAGGATCACATTTTGTCAAATCCGTAGAAGATCCTATATTTTTTAGAGAATCAAATACATTTATTAGTGTATTATTCAACTTTAACTATTCACTTAACGTTTTCATCTCGAATTCAAGACTCAATAAAGTTTAATTTGCTCAAGTTTAATAGACAAAGTCTTTGTGCTACTAGTATTAGACGATTATTGTGTATGCGTTACATATCATGAACAAGTGTTACTTCATTTCATCAATTTGCTCTTCTGTTAACAAAATTCGAGACAAACGTTTCACCTAATTAAAAAAGGTAAATCTAATTTGGTAAAATTTCAGGCAAGAACAGTGGTAACCTTATTACAGGGACTTAGGATTAAAATCTCAGGGATTAAGGACTAAAACCTTGAGGATTAAGGATTTTCTTTCCCTTTTCTTTAATCTCTTTATAAGAATCATACATTTCTTACGTATTATTGTGTCTTACAGTTTTATACTTTATATTGATTATACAATTACTTTAAAATTATGTTTAATCTGTCTATTATTATTAATTTTATATTTTTAGCAAGGTTTATGATAATTAAGTTTGAGAATGACTGTAACCATATCTGTTTTTGTTTCATGCTACTTGAAGAGGTCAATAGCCGTATATTTTTTCACGTAGAGTATGATACCGAGTGTATGATAAAAAAAGGCAAGATGGACTTGAAATAACCTCGAAGGCGCCCATGTATTAAAAAGTTTATAATGCCATTTGGCTCCTTACTCGAAATAGTAAAGGACACGTGTTAGTTAAACAAACTAACAAACTAAGTTCTTAAATCACACGTTTTCGAGATTTTTTACAATGCCAACTTAAATGGGACACTCTGCATATTCTGTACAGTATATATCCCTGTAAGAACTTGTTTTCTTTTTTGAATTTGAACTGTTTTTGTACCTTGTCATCTTTTTCTTGAAGTTCCGCTTTCAGTGCCGCGATTTGATCCAATAAATCTTGTTGACTGATCGTGCCTTCAAGTGCGTTATTCAATGAATCAATGAGATTGTCTTTTTCTGCCAGTTGTTGTGTCAAACCGGCTACAGTATTTTCACAATCTTTGAGCCTTTGTAATAAGTCAGATACATCTATGTATTCCGGCACAGTAGTTGTTTCGACCGATTTCGCCGGTGACGTATGCCCGGTTATTTCCTTTTCATCAAGTTTTGCCAACTGGCGTTTCAACTCAGCTATTTCAGCTAAAAGACGATCGTTTTCAGCTTGCAGATCATCGCAGTTCTTCGGCACATCCAGACCACCTTTCATCAATGCGCGAAGTTTTGCCCTTAAACGATATATGGCAGGACAGCTGACGTCCTCTTCGGTTTCTGCCAGTTTTAATTTCAAATGTGATATCATATCCCTCAATCTGTTCAGAGAAAGAAACATAATTTATACAATCGATAGATAAAAGGCGATTTTTTAATGTAGGTACATTAATACGGGTTACATTTTTACTTAACATTAGCCTATGATTCAATCAATTCGATAATAAATCGAATTTTTACAAACGAGTTTATCAAAGTTAGAAGATCATTAATACGTTTTATGAGTAGAAACGTTGTATAAGTAATATCAAAAGTAGAAGGAAGTCAAAGTAAATTGAAGTTTCGGAGTTTAGGTAAAACGTTTCTTACAGCATTAAATGCTGTATATTTTATACGCAAACCTACTGAATTCAGAAGAACAATCCAAATCATTTGAAATTTATATTTCAACGTAAACTGAAAGTTTAAAGTTTGTGTATAATATTTCAACGATTATAAAATTTTATGCGATGAATATTATAAACAGACAACATTCTTATTTAGATAATAAATATATAAAAAATTAAAAAAGAAAATATATATACTTTTATATATTCTATTATATTTGGATTTAGGGGATTTTCAAACGTAAAGATTTGCAGACAAAAACTGGCATATTTGAATGCTTTCCTTTATATTTTTCGCATAATGATCAATATTTCGAGGATTTGAATGGTTATCATTTGTACTAACGAGATTCGCATAAAACTTTGCAATATTTTTTTAAAAGAGACATTTGTGCAGGAAGTCTCAAGGTTTAAGAAGCTTCCTAGATTCACAGCCTGTTAGAATCAGATTTCCCACGGGAACGAATGCACAGTACAGAGCATATAGCAATTTTGGAAAGCAAAGTGTTACTGTTGTTTTCATAACATAATATAGTCGAATAAACATTTCATTCAATAATGTAATATAAAAAATGCACAAAAAATAGTGCATTCCTTTTATAAATTGATATTATAAAGTAGCTGTCATGAATATCTTGAAAACTGTCTGAATGTTACTGTTTATCACTAACGTGGAAAATTACTTCCATTACGTATCAGAATTAAATAAAATAATTTTAAGAAAAAAAATACACCGACTTCGAAATGCACTTTTCGCTAATAACTCGAAAACTAAAGCTTTCCGTCAATTATGCATAAGGAAAAAGTTGTCCAGAACCACGCCCTTAACAACATATTCGAAGGATATTAAAATCGTTCGAAGTTGATTTCAAAAGTTAACAACAATTTTTCGCTAATATCTCGAAAACTAAAGCTTTCCGCGATATTTTTATACGAACAAAATTGTTCAGAATCATGTCCGTGATAAGATATTAAAAGCGCACTAAAATCGAGAAAAGTTTATTTCAAAAGTTGTCGGTTTTTTTGCAATAACAACACTTTGCAATTAAAAAATGAAAAATTTTTTGATAATGGTACCAATGGGGAGTCAGAACCTACCAGATGCAAAAGGTTTCGTTCCAATCGGT